TGACTTGCAGTCTCGCCTGACAATCCACTCTTCGGAAAAAAAATCTGTCTGTGCCTTTCGTCAACTCACAACATCACACTTCTCACCTTCCTTATGTTTCCGCTCTATTCCTGCAAATTGCTTTGAGACATTATCCTCGCAGAAAGTGCACCTTGTTTTTCTTATAATAATTGTTGCCTTTGATTTGTCACCTTTCAGATCAGGACGAGGTCTCAAATCACATCACTGGATTTACTGTACAGTGTAGTGACTCTGTATTTTGTAGGTGAACATGGCAGCCAATTTGCACACAACAATGTCCCACAAAGAGCCGTGGAGTGAATAATTAATTTTACTCAAGCGATTGTCATCTAGGACACCAGTGGACCTTAATTTAACATCTCATTCTAAGGACAGATTCCGACACTGCAGCACTCCCCCAAGCACTGGACTAGAGCATGAGTCCAAATCTTATTGTGTGCAAATTGGCTGCCGTATTCATCTCTAAAATACAGTCACTACACTTCATAGTAAATCATTTGAAGTGTTTTGTGATGTCCTCTTGACGTGAAAGGTGCTATATCAAATGCAAGAACTATTATTAATTACAGCCAGGTGCAGCGTTTCTCTCTGCAGGAAACTTCTGAGCACTGAAATAGGTCTTTGAAGTGTTATTGCCATAGGGCTGATAAAGCTCCCTGCTATTAGGAAGCGTGGGAGAGAATAAGAGCTGCAGTGTGGGATTAATTAAAGTAGCTAAGGCCCAAATCCGGCCTAGGTTTAGTCCGTGAGACCATTTTGTCTTAATGTTTGATTGGACAAAATTGCATAAAAATCTTAACTTCAGTCTTAACCTCTTGTTAACCTGAAATCTGCCAGTTCTCAGGTTGATGTTAAAGATGCCATGAAGAGAGAAAGGAGTTGTTGCCAAAGCGATTAATCAGTCATTCACTATGTGGTTGTGAATGTGCGGGTTTATAGCGTGTAAAACTACCCTCTTTGCTGTTTTAAAAAAAGCGCTTTGAGATGTTTTTAATGTTATAAGCGACATAAAAGTGCACATTCCCTCTTCTCCATGTTAAATGGCGTCTTCACATAGCAAAATGCCGGATGCCCTTATTACTGTCTGGAACGCTGACAGCGAGTAATGAAAAATTATGTTTTATAATAAATGTCCACAACAGTCTCATATTCAGAGATGGCCCATAAAACTGGATGTTAATGACATGCTCTAAAAACACTGGGAGACAGCCGACAGTGATGAAGAAGGGATTCGTGAATCTTCGAAAAGTTTGGGGAACTAAATTCTATCCATCAGCACACTGGACAGCACACTGACAGTGCAGAAGGAATCCATTCAGCCCACTGCAATCCAGTAGTCAGGCAGGTCTGCAGAACACTGCTGTTGACAGACCAGCCAGCCTGGTGCACCATCAGGACTTTGAAGGGCTGAACCATCCACAAATTGGGGCTGGGACTCTTCCCGATTAGCTTTCGGTAACCATGTAACCCAAAGCCCTTATGTGTCGGCTGGTCCTGGCTGGACAAATAGCTAGAGGCTTGCCAGACATTGCTCTCAATGGCAAGCTACAACAACAATTTGCATTTATATAGCGCCCCTCATGCAAGATAGTGTCCCTGAGAGCTTGACAGTGGCGGAGCACAATGCTGAGCTGGAGGGAGGGGGATGGGGAGGTGATCAGAGGCATGGTCAAATAGGAAGGTCTTCAGGCATGACCTGAAGATGGGGAAGGAAAGGGCAAGTCGGGATAGAGGAAGAGCGTTCCAGAGTTTCGGGGCGTAGTGGCTGAAAGCGTGGTCACCAATGATAGAACGGAGGGCATAAGGGATACGCAGAAGGCTCGAGCCAGTCGAACTGAGGCAGCAGGTTGTAGGGTAAGCAGGTCGGAGAGGGAGGGAGGTGCCAGGGCATGAAGGGATTTGAAGACAAGTGTGAGGACTGAAAACTATGTGGTTTTAGCTGGTTGAAATCCAGCAATAACCCAACGCACACTCTGGGGTCCTTTGACACCTATCTACTCTAACCCTACACTGTAAACAAAAACAATTGAGATGTGCCTTTACAAGACTAACACGCTGCAGGCAAAATAGAACCTGTTGTGGGCAAATGATTGATATTTCAAGTGACTTAGCGGGTTAGAGCAGCCATAACAATTTCACGCATGAGCACAATGGAACTTATCCAGTACTGTAACTCCGTGTCCAGTTCCACATCGGAGCTCAAGGGGATATACGGACATGTGGGTAAATGGACATTGGATAACCAGTACTCTACCATAGATCTGTAGAGGCGGGATTAAGACGGCTGTAGAATCCATCCAGAAATAATAATAATAATCCTTACATTTGATATAGCTTGCGCCTTATCACGTTGTCAAGACGCTGCATAACTGAAAATTCCCTTAATCCCTGGTAGCATCAAAGTGAGTGCGCAATACACTTTTTCTATTGCTTTTTATATCCCTCTAGACGCAAAGCGCTTCACAGGATATACTGCAAAGTGAATTGACTTCCTGATTCGGGGTAAAACCACAAATTTCTGAAACACAACACATGAATCAGAAGTATCTATAAAATCCAGGCCGGGAGTGTTCCCCAAGACAGGGCTCTGGTGGGTGGGTGAGAGCTGCTCCTCTGATGAGCCGTGTTACTGTCCCTTACATTGGAAATGGTACAAAGATGACTGTTTTGGAGCTGTTGTGCCGGGCCTGTCTGACTCACTCTCCTCTTGCTGCTGTCAGACCAGAAGCACAATGGATAAAACCTGGTTACCTGGAAAAGCACATATCAAGCCACAAAACCAGACTGTGACTCTCAGACTGAGAGAGAGCAGCTCTCCCGCCTTGATGCCGAGTCTTGTAGGCACAGGAGGCAGCCATTCAGGCACCGAACTTGTTCTGCTGTTTCGCCCACAATCATACATACTTTACAGTAAATCCTGTGAAGCACTTTGAGAAGTCTCGACAATACTGCAGCTCGTGGAGCTGTTGTGGAGCTCAGTGCCTTCTTTCACCCACCGGTGTCCTTTATAACCCTAAATCTATGCTCTCACTATTTCAGCTTTCCCTCACCTCTGCAACATTGCCCCACTTCCACCACTACTGTTACTCTGAGCTGCCAAGACCCTCATTCACTATTTCATGTCCAGTTTGACTAAACCAATGCCTGCTGGCCAAACTCCTTCTCTATTTCCCCATCTAATCACTTTGTTCAGTAAAAATTGCCCTGTTTCATGGCCAACACTATCGCCAGGTTTCAGACATTTTGCCCCCGCTCTCTGGAACTCCATCCCAGAGTACACCGACTCAAATAATTCTTTCCCACTTTCAGAGCCCACCTTGTTATCCTCCCTCCCCTCCCACCCAAATGGATTCACATGAAGAGTCTGATGGAATCATGGAGAGGCCTGTGGTTTTCAAGTGCCCTGGGACATTACCCTGCATGAGGGGCGTTGTATAAATACAAGTTGTTGTCGTTGTTGACTGGCCTTCTGTCAGTTAACAGTTCCAAAAATCTTTCATGAGCGATAAGTAGAGCAAAGAGCAACCAGAACGGGCTGTGATAGGGAAGACGTTAGTTCAGAAAAGAAGAGAATCCCAACCAGCCAGAGAGAAAATCAGCAAAACCTACAGTTTTATGCAGCATTAAATGTGTCCTCTAGAAAAGCTGGAAGTCTGTGATAAAATAATAATGAAACTTGCATTTGATTTAATGCCTTTCTCAGGAGGAGGAAATCTCCAAACCACTTTAAGTCAGCCAAGCAGTGCCAAAAGACAGAGCAGATTGGCTGGAATGCTCATTTGCCTCGATTGTTCTAATGATTGTATTGAGAGGGCTCCTGGAGTCTCCACTATACATTGGAGCAGTGCACTTTATATTGTTTCAGCATTACCCTGTTGGGAAATGATATCTTTATGGGGGCCAACAAAATGAAGAAATATACATGTTATTTAGAATTCCTAGAGGCTGGGTATAACAAAACTGAGATACACTGGAGGCTACTTCAAGGCAGTCGAGCAGTTTCAGTCAGAGCACAATATTCTTGTTTCAAATATTCTATATTGTAGCTGGATTTTTAATTGTTTTATATTGTATCTGTATGTTGTTCTATATATTATTTTATCCTTCTTTTTGAGGGAAAACAACCTCCTTCAAGAAGCCATTCAGTGGGAACATCGGATTAATTTTCATGGCGAACAGATTTATAATAACAAGAATCATTGCAACTGATATAGCACCTTACACATCACAAGGGCAACTCAAATTGCTTTACAGGATACAGGAGAAACACCCTTCTCTCCTTACAAGTTCCCTGCAAATTGTTGAGCTAGGATCACCCTAACTGTTAGGCCTTTGGTTTGCTGAGATAACAACAAATTGCGAAACGCGGCAGCCAATTGTGCACAGAAGTGTCCCACAAACAGTCATGGATTGAGTGACCGAATTATTGTTATTTATTGTTCACACACAGGATAACATCTCTGAGCCCTGTACAAAGATGGATTAGAAAGCCGAGCAAGCAAGAAATGGGCGTAGGTGTGAGACGGAAAAGTAAGTGGGAGGAGGGATATCAGGGTGTAATAACTGAAGGTTCAGCCACTGAAGGTGGTGCGGAGTGGGGGAAAGCAGGCAGCAAGCCTGAGTTTGCCGAGCAAACGGGGTGAGCAGAGGAGCAGGGGTAAAAGAGTATCAGAAATAGGAAGGTGCTGGGAGAACTGAGGAGTTACCTTAACCATGGAGTGAAAATTGCAATGTTTCTTCCACTGGTTGTCAGGGAAGGGAAAATATTACAAAATAAAAAACAGGGTTTATTCTTCTCCCCCCCAAAACACACCTCCTTTCAGCAGCAGCGGAGACTGGAGAAGGTTAGAAAGGCTGCAGTAAGTAAAGTATTGTGTTCAGCCCTCTATGTCAGGGTGACAAGACCAGTGAGATATATTCTGTTCATTCTCTACCTTTCACTCAGTTGTGAGACTGAGCAAAAGGAATTAAGTCCTTACCTGACTCATTGTTTCACAGAAACCACGATAATTATGATGGTGACAGTCAGAATAACCAAGCCTGATAGGATAAAGCAGCATTTCATCTTCCGGGCTCGTTTCTGGAAGAAAGGAAGAGAGAGAGAGAGAGATGAATGTCACACACTCAGAGAGTCTGGTGGAATGGACCGATGGAGGCAGGTCATTTGATGTACCTGTGAACCTTAGATTCTAACAGGCGTTAGATCAAATAAGTGATTATCACAGTCGGGGTGCAATTGTAGCATGTAAAACATGTTAATTATTACTGGTGGTAACTTGTTGGCAATGCCATCCTTCGGATGAGATGTTATCCAAGGTCCTGGGAGTTTCTCCCAGTGTCCTGGCCAAAAATCCCCCATGTAAAATTGATCATTCACTTCATGGCTATATGGGGATATTGCTGTGCATAAATTGGCTCTTGTGTTTGCCTACAAAACACACTGTCAAATCCTGTGATGCAGTTTGAGATGGCATCCCTACCTGAAAGGTGCTGTTATCAAATGCAAGGATTTTTATTCATTAAATCAACGGGGTTATTTAAATTCGGATAATAGATACTGTAGTTGGCCAGCAAAGCGTATTGAGGTGTACAGGGTTATGTGCTGTAATAAACTGGTGGAACAGGCAGGCTGGGCTCTTCCCATTCCTATGAAGTTGTCTTAAGTACAAACAGCCGTCCATGTTAAAGAGGAGATTTAACGGGCACACATTAATATCCGATCTTAATCTCACACTGCCAGAAACTGTAAAAGCTGAAAGCAATTTTATAATGATGTTATTTCTATGAAGTTCGACGTTTATGAGGCGTCCCACAGGAAACCCTGAGACATGAATTTACAATTTAATTTCTTCAGTAATTATAAATGTGAATTCAGCCTCTACCTGCCAAAACGTGAATCTGTCACAACTTGCCCCCAATGCCTTGCCTCTCAAAACTTCTTCATCTGACTAATGTGTGCTCTCCACTACAGCAAGGCTGCACCGCAATATAAAGGATATAAAAAGCAATAGAAAAAGTGTAGCGCGCATTCGCTCTGATGCTACCAGGGATTAAGGGGGTTTTCAGTTATGAAGACTTAAGACAATGTAATAACTTTTTTCCACTGGAGCTGAGAAGGGATTGTAGGCGAACATGGCAGCCAATTTCGCACAGCAATGCCTTACGAACAGCCATGGAGTGAATAACCAATTTTATCTTGGGGACTGTTGGCCAGGTCATCAGGATCTTTAACGTCCACCTGAAAAGCCAGACTCAGTTTAACATCTCATACAAATGATGACATTTGTGACAAATGCAGCGCTCCCCCAGCACTGCACTGGAGTGTCAGCCAAGTGGGGCTTGAACCCACCACCGCCTGACTCAAGAGGAAAGAATGCTACCAACTGAAGTGATGATTGAGCTCGGCTGACATTCGATGAGCCCTCATGAACAGTCACAGGGTGCACCTTGATAAAGGTTAAAAGTGAACATTTGTTAATTCAGATCAATTAGGTTTACCCCAGAAGGCACTCTGCTGATGGAATTTCATTACGTTACACCAATTAAAAGGTAATATATCACCTGCTACATATAAAGTGCCGAAAACAATATGTGGTGGCAATTCCACCTGGGTCTAGATTTGCTCTATTGATGTTGCATTACAGAACGTCTAGAATTTAACAACTTCTTCAAGGCAGTCATAATTTTGTAGCCTTTTTGTGTAACTTTATTTTGAGGACAAACAGAAAAGCGGCTTTCAAAGTAAAGGTTGAATTGAACAATTTGACAAACTCTGCACGCTCTAAAATGCTACATAAATAAGAGTAAATCTAGACCTTTGTGGAATTTCCACGTTGGAAGCTCCATGTAACACTCAGATAATCTAGGCTGACTCACACTTCAGTGCAGTGCACGGTGAGCACAGCGTTGTTGGAAAACAGAAGAAAGGAATTTAATTTGTATTGAACTGTTTTAATCAATCTTGATAGCACTGTTGAGTGAGATATCTTTTGAGGAATGACTGAATCTGACAGCGTGAAGGAGCTCCACTAATACGATTACTGAAGCACCCTGGGTTTCTCCCAATGTTACTATAGCCTTCCTGCACTTTCAGACTCACTAATTCCAAATAATGGGACAACACCTGCTCCCTCCTTCAATTTAATCAGCACTCACTGTTGGAACAAAACAATTGAAAACAAAGGATTGTTAACATTAATGGGATTCTTTCCTGCTTCATTGAATCTTTTCTTCTCCCCCTCCCCCAAATCTCAGTGAAATTTACAAACAATTAGCATTTTTATAGCTTCTAACCTTGTTGAAAGTCTCCTAAATTTACAATGATTTACATAGATTTACACGGAAACAAGGCATTCTGCCCAATGTGTCTTCAGTCATGTTTACATTCCACGAGTATAATAAAGGGATACATGAAGAACTCCTTGCTCCCTCATTCCCTTTATTCCCTTCTCACTCATCTGTATATCTAGTTTACCCTTAAATATGTCTATACTTTCTGATTCAACCACCACTTTGAGTTGCACAATCTCATTATCCTCTATGTGAAGTAGTTCCTCCTNAAAAAAATTCTCCGAGTGTGTCAGGCTGGGTTAGTAGTAGCATTCTCACCTCTGAATCAGAAGTTTGTGGATTCAAACCCCGCAACAGGACTTGGAATCTCATAGTCTAAGCTGACACTCCAATGCAGTGCTGTGGGTGGGTTGCATTGTCGGAGGTGCTATCCTTTGGATGAGATGTTAAACTGAGGTAATGTCTGCCTGTTCAGGTGGATGTTAAAGATCCCATGGCACTATTCAAAAGGAGAAGGGAATTTCTCCTGGTGTCCTGGCCAACAATCCCCCAAATAAAATTGGTCACTTACTCCATGGCTGTTTGTGGGACATTGTAGTGTACAAAATGACTGCCTCATTTCACCCACAAAATACACATAGACAATCCACTTTACAGTATATCCTGTGAGGAGCTTTGAGGTATCTCGATGACGTAATAAGACGCTACATTAAATGCAAGGATATTATTATTATTGTTATTTTAGATCCCTCAGTCACTATCTTATACTTATGGGAACAAGTGGGAATAGCCTTTTTATGCTAATCTTTTGGGACCCTTTTATGATTTTAACACCTCTATTAGAGTTCTTCTCTGTCAAGTGCAGGGACTGTCATTGGAGGTGATGGTGGGAGCCATTCGGAGATGTTTCAATGTGACAATGCGGTATAAAAATACAAGTTCTTTCTAAATCTTACTGAGATGTGTGTAAGATTAATTAATAATGGAGTGTAGGAGATATATTAATACATGAAGATCGACAAATTCTTCCCAATAGGTCTCATCAAGTGTCTTGAGGTTGCAGGGCTCATTGATTTGGAGGAATGATGTTCAGGATATTAGAACAAACACTTACTCCTGATGTAAAAAGCGGTATATCGATTGCAATGAGTAACCCTAAACCTCAGAAAAAGATAGAATGTAGAATACAGTACAATACAAAATAATAACAATAATAACTGAGCATATTGATAAGATATGGAACTGAAACAAACCAAACAAGAATGTTTCAGCCAATGTTATCGCTCCCTTTGAAATGGCATCTAATGTATTTTCGTTTTATTATTCCCCACTCTAGATATTCTAAGTACGATGCATATTTCTTTAGATTTATTTTGCGCCACTGTTGGCCCCCATAAAGATACCATTGCCCAACAGGGTAATGATGAAACAACTTAAAGCACACCTTTGGCTGAATCCAAGATAGTGGCAGAACAATTTGAAACTGTTTGGGGATACTGTCACCTGTGGTCAGTCAAGGAATTACAGTATGATTTGTGTAAAATAGGGAATATTTGCTTCGACTGAATACTACAAATGATAATTAATCTTTATGTTGATATTAATGTTAAGGTATGTATTAAACTGCAAATTTTACCCTATAGGAACATGAATTGGCCATTCAGCCCATTGAGTCTGTTCAGGTATCAGATCATGGCACAGGCTTGCGATGTGTCACTTGGCCCCTCCACTCCACCATCAAGGCTGAGTCTTTAGCCTCTACGAACTTAACCTCTGAAACTTCCTGCCTCTACCTGTCTGCCTCACCCCCTTTATCTATCTTCAAATTCCACCTTTAAACTTACCCCTCCACTTTCCTCGGCATCCAACTCCACTACTGTGCAACAACAAGATTTCATTTATAGAGTGCCTTTCACGTCAGGAGGACGTCCCAAGGCGCTGGACAATTGGGTTGGGACCCGAGCAGAGGGGAAATGGTCAGGGTGAGGGAAGGGAGGGAGCGAAGAGGGGGTAGAGAGTCGAGAGGGGAGCTGAAGGCACGGTTGAAGAGTGCAGCCCTCTGAGATGCTATCCAATGTGATGAGGGCGATATAAGTCCAAGTTGTTTTGTTTCATCGGTGTGGCAATTCACCATATCAAATGTAAGGATAATTGCCTATTCATGCAGGCTTGAGTTACTATCAATTTTAACACAACATTCCCGATACTTTCAGTCGATAATTGACTGAAGTAAAGCAGGGGAAATGGGATTAAAAGGCCTGCCATGATCTGATAATTTGACCGATTGAATGGTCTCCTCCTGTTCCTAAGGAGTATCATTTGCAGTATTTCTTAATGAGTGCCTCAATTTAATTAACATTGTGTTAACACAGGCAAATGCCAAGGGCATCTCAGTCCTTTCAGACTGTGCTCAAACTGGGCCAACCTACAGCCAACCAAGCAATATGACACATTTCATAAAGCTGTGAATGTGGAAATTTGTAAAGAGATTAAGGTTCGTGGATTTAATGGGAAATAAGCTATCTTGATTGGTAGGATGATAGGTACAAGCAGCTTCTTACTCTGCCTGTTTCAGTGTAAAAAGTAGTAAAAAGTAGTAACTGATTATCCCATCTCTTGCTGTTGGATTGGTCGCCATGTCACCCCTACGAACAATTGAGATACTGGTGGAGAGATTTACCAGACTTTAAAGTGCACCCAAACTACGTACTGATGGTGGAAAATCCCAGGCCCTCTCAAATTCCAGACAGAAGTCAGAACTGAAGTCGAAGAAAAATATAGATAATCCGG